CAATGCCCATGCCAATGCCCATGCCAATGCCCATGCCAATGCCCATGCCAATGCCCATGCCAATGCCCATCCCAATGCCCATGCCAATGCCCATGCCAATGCCCATGCCAATGCCCATGCCAATGCCCATGCCAATGCCCATGCCAATGCCCATGCCAATGACTCGAGTATACCCTTCCTCAACCTCATACACATTTTGTCTCATTATTTGGGGCCTTCTTGACTGGTTTGCCCACACTATATAAAGATGTCAACAAAATGAAGTACTCTTGAGTTTACAGCATAAACTGCAAGCTGTGTGATCAAAAATATATCGTACAGGAGGGAAAAACAATCGGCACTAGGATCAAAGAACTAAATCGACTAGGCCGCAAAATGGATACTGAAAAATAGAAGGTCGGTGAACACATCGCCACAGAATTTACTGGAATGCAACGGAAAGACTGGCCTCATATGAAGAAAACACCAGAAAATGCAGGATCAGGGAGACTGTTGACATCCTCTTTCAAAGAAACCTGAAGAACAGGAGATTGGAGGATAATTTCGCGTACAGCCTGAGCAAATTGGATATTCAACGAATATATCAAAAAGAAGACGCTTACAACCTGGACAACGGTTTAACAAGAGGAAGAGACATCACTAAGGGGCGGCTTATGTGGAACAAAGGGAAGTAAAAAAAGGCGACTGCAGTAAGAGAAGTCGGGCATGGAATTGGCCAAAAAAATTTTCCCGAGAGTCAACCTTTGAAATGTAGGATATGAAATTAAAGACAAAAGATATAGGTTGACTCGATAGAGGCCACCAGTGTGTGAGCTTGTTTCGTGTGTATTTTTTGTACCTGTATCTGAAGGGGAGGTGACTGATGGCAGGCTTGACCACGGAGGGATACCGACCAACACACACAGGGACATCATCCCAGTACCCTAAGATTAAATCGGAATGTCAACTTGAGAGACGATAGGAGTGTGCTTATCGCGATTTAAGGGAGAAAAATGGAAACGGTGCATTCTACACCAGCGGTTATGACTTAAACCGGACACAGGGCCCCAAACAATGAGACGCAATGTGTGTGGGCATGAGGGAGAGGGTTTGAAGCGTAGGGAGATGATGAGGAGGTGATTATGCTTCCATAAACCCACTTTTATCGACACACTCTTAGGCGACATTGAACGAAATGCGAGCACAGAATTTTGTGAATAAGTAGATGCGCCATATAAGTGGAAGTGAAAGAAAGAGATGTGGCACTATAAGGTAGAACAGAAAATTGGTCAAGGGGATTGTCTTCATTTGTCACTTTGATGAGTTATAATTCTGTGCATACGGTGGCACCTCTTGCTGACGATGACGTCAAAACGTTTGGGAATGTAACAGCCAGTGGTTCAATTCTGGAAATCACAAATACTATGGTAGAGGACACGGGCCTAGTTAGGTTCCACAAGGTCTCCCTGACGCTCCGACCAAGTTGCGAAAGCAACGTCTATCCAAAACTATAAAGCTAAAGGAGAGAGCGATCAAACACAAGGCCACACTATCTTAGTTTCCATATCTATGAGAAATTAAGGTTTAAATTCCTACATTCAACTAATTATTTAGCAATATAAGATGTATTCACTCAATTTCGTTTAAGGTGATGAAGGACTGGTAGAAGTATTTTCCGACAATGATATGAGTAGAGATGACATTTCCATGGAATTTTACATAGCCTTGCTTTCCCAAAAGTTATACGAAGAAAAGTTGGGTTTCGAGGAATCTCTTGTTTCATAATT